TCTAGAAAACAAAATGTCAACAAGAAACACCTGATAAACAGTATTAAATAATAATTTCGTTTATTTTTGTATCATAATATGTTACTCAACACCTATTGTTCAAAGTTGTTTGATTTCGATATACCCCTCAAACTAATAACATAAGTACATAACATAACATCACGCCTTTTATTCCCGAAGGCGTAGGCAGAGGTGCCCATTATACCACTGTACAATGTAACACCCACTTTTCACTATTTATGTTACGAGTACCATATAATAGGGGGTGAGCGTGAGCCTGTCGCTATATACCGGGCACAATTCCAGACTCCGTGCTACTACTGAGATTTTTCAAACTAATAACCAATCTCAATCTGAAAAAATCTGAGAATTAAAACGAAATTAAATAGAAACTTCATACGGCTATTGTATTTTGCTATAATTAGCTTATGAAGTTTCTATTCAAAACTTATCCGATCTACAGAAAAAGTAGTACACATATAGAGAAATATAATAATAACGTCACGTCTTTTTACATGTAGGCAGAGGTGCGCATTACGGAAATTAATGCGACTGTACAATGTAACACCCACTTTTCACTATTTATGTAATGAGTCCCATGTAGGTGGTGAGCCTATTGCCATATACCGGTAATAAGAAATATAATAATCATACCAATAATTCTATGCAAGTAGTTACTCGTAGGTAGTTATAGGTACTCGGTCAAAGAATGATATGAGTATTTATTTTACTGTAAATATTACTAACACCATATTAGTTACGTCATTTCGTTAAACTTGATTTAAAGTTAAAAACGTAATTTTGTAATAATTTGTAAAAAAAACCTGATCAGCATACATAGTCTTTATAGTTATGAACTGTTTCCGTAAAATTTAGTTTAATTTTATCTTTATTTTAACACGGAAACGATCCTACGGTATAGTTACGCCGTGCTACGCGCCGCTACGCAATGCTACGCTACCTACGCGCTCGCTACAAACTTCGGTTTCGCGTAGCAAAATATAAATCTGTGTGAAATAAAGTCGATATATTATTTAATATTTTGATTAAGTGCATTAATATATTATTTATTATGTCACGGGCCTATTTCACAATACTTATCTAAGTTTCTTTTAATCTGAGTAACGAATAATTTGACACATTTCGTTTAACTGGCAACATAAATAATAATCAACATAAATAAAACTACAGTTTGTATATTTCTTAATTAAAATCAATGAGGGCGCCAGAGGTCTAACCATATCAAAACCAAAACTAACGTATAAATAAACTAGCGACCCGCCCCGGCTTCGCACGGGTGCAATATGCATGTATTATACATACAAACCTTCCTTAAGAATCACTCTATCTATTAAAAAAACCGCATCAAAATCCGTTGCGTAGTTTTAAAGATCTAAGCATACATACGGACATACAGCGAAAGCGACTTTGTTTTATACTATGTATTGATGTGCAATGTAAACAATATTTATTTTAGACATAAAATCATTTATTTTGTAGGTTTTTCAGTTCTGGTAGGTGACATAATGAAATATAAACCGCCATCATAGCTGGGTCGAGCGAAAACATAATCTTAACTCGTCGAGTACCGCCATTATAGACACAATTATAGAACAATAGGTTGCGGTCACCGGTGACCGCTTGGTGTTTGACAGTTTAATTTGATAAAATACATCCAGCTTCTTGTTCTACTGAAAATCACTTTATACTCGAAACACAATCAGTCGAACTCCACTCCGAGTTTTTAGCATGTTTAATAAACTTTGTCTAAGTTTTATTTACTTAAATTTCAATCTAGTACCTTTTTAACAAAATACAATTCACAAAACAACCTCGATCACAGCTGATGACGTTGGAAGTACATTCATTGAACGTTGCCATAGTTTTAATGTTGTAGTTCCTCAAACATTCGTTGTCATTCTTTAATACAATAGCTATATTTTAAGACTGTCTCATTGGCCGAGTGGTCGCAAGTGCGACTACCGGGCAAGGGGTCTCGGGTTCGATTCCCGGGGCGTCAAAGTATTACTGGGTTTTTTAAAAAAAATCTTAAGTGTAGGACGGAGTCTGGAAATGTGCCCGGTATATGGCAATAGGCTCACCCCCTATTACATGGGACTCGTAACATAAATAGTGAAAAGTGGGTGTTACTTCTGTGGGCACCTCTGCCTACCCCTTCAGGGATAAAAGGCGTGATGTTATTTTATGTTATGTTATGCAATTGACACGAAGTCGAAACTTATTTAAATTACGCCATTAAGAAGCTCTTTGTACGTCAAAATCAATACGTATGAACCGTAACTCAACGCAATAATGATTAGAATAAGAATGCTGTCCAATATCTTGTAGAATTTAATTGTAATTCCATGGTCATGGCAAATTAATGAGCTATTAATAGACTTGATTTAAAAACTAAATCAATTTTTTTTATATTATACCTATATTACATGTATTATTTATATCATAGGTTAAATAGAAAAATTACGTATATCAGAAAGAACAAATTTTACAGTACCTACTTACAAGCGTTTGTAGTTTTTAATTTCATTAGAATTCGTTTGAATCGAAAGACACTTGCTACATCTAGTGAACTTAGCATGAACTATTTAAATATAAAATAATCTTTTTAAAAGACTCGTTTTATGTAATAATATTACTTTCCAAAAAAAATCAATTTAATTGACTATATGTTGTATAGTTACTTGAAATACGAGACATATTATCATAAGGAAGTTTTAGAATAAAAAAGCAACGAATGCCGCCATTATGAAGTATTACTTTAAACCTAATTAACGATGGGTATAGATATAGACATCCTCTTATCCTTAGAGACTGCATTCCAAATATATATTTTAGTAATTGGCAGAAACTAAAATATTTTACTTTATAAAGTACTAGCTACTTCCGCGCGGTTTCACACGCTCTGCTCAGCTCCGTTTGGTCGTAGCTTAATGTTTTATAGCCTATGGCCAACCTCGATAAATGCGCTACCAAAAACAAAAAGAATTATTCAAATCAGACTTGTAGTTACGGATATTAGCGCGTTCAAACAAAATAACAAACTCTTCCGCTTTATATAAAAGTATAAGATACATTTTAGCTTTTTTATAACTTAAAAATCGTAAACGTATATCTTAAATCTTGTAAGGCATTGCCTAAATATGCAAAACATGTCAAAATACAAACATACTCGACACGTGTATCATTTGTATGTTATTATGCTTATTACAACGTAACATATAATCGAATGAATGAATCGCTTGCATCACTGGCTTAGAAATCGAATATTTTGTAAAGAATCGAGATATCGAAATGTTACGTTACAATCGATAGTTTAATAACCTAAATAAAATGTTAGAACATGCTCAGTGAAGGGGAAACTGAAGCAAGTTCACATCCATCGATGTTTTGATAGATTCTTTGGCAATAGCATTTCGATTACAAAAAACAAAACAAAAGATCACAGTTACTAACGCGAGATAATAAATTTATCTAAGAATACTTAAATCAATGAATTCGTGGTTAGTTAGTGACTATTATTTCGGTAACTTGTTACAGATCGATTCCCTCGTGAGTTTTTTGTGTGATTTACGAATTACTTTCCGGTTTTGACAGTGGGGCAAAGTTTAAAAAATATATAATTTTATTGGTTTACGCAAACTGGTTTCACAGATTTGACATAAAAAATGTCAAAAGAACATTTCCTGATTGGTGGAGGAGTATTTAAAATATGTTACACTACTGCCATCTATCTTAGACCTTTACGACCTTAGACACATTATCAATGTATTAACGTAACAAATCTATGGTTAAAAATTCAAAATGGACATTCTATGTAAATGGTTGCACTGGCCGCCGATAAAGCCTTCTAATTTTGAATAGATTGTCGAGAATGAACGGCCTGAATATTTAAATACGGAAGACATTTTATTATTTGACTACGACGATGAAATTTGGTATTATTTTTTGGAACGTTAATAAAACAAGTTGCTTATACAAAGATAGTACTTAAATTTAGGAATCCGTAAACATATTATATAATTATAAACACTCGGTGTATTCATATTTCCTGTCAAGACAAACGTAGTAGTGTGATATTAGCGTACACTAATATTACCTTCGTAGGGTACCCATATAAATATAAACGATGTCCTTAAAATCTCTGCAGGTAGTTTAAACTTCATTAATATCTTCTGAGCAACAAATATGTCAAAACGTGGCAAGTACATATCCACTATAATTTAAAATGATTAAGGTTATATGTGTCAGGTTCAGGTTGTTCTACTTTTATAACTACGAGTAGCACTAAGTAGGAAGCAGTATTGTTAATGGATCGTGTCTATAAAATATGTTTGTTAGCATCACTATAATAAGTAAATAATTAACATAACGTGGAAGTTAGTGGAGACTCGTCGAACCGTTTGTTATAATTTAAACACATCGTTGGTATCAAACTAGTTGCGTAGCCTCGAAAATAACTCGTTTTCAGTCTAATGTTAAGTAGCCTTAATCGATTTCTGTGGCTTACGAATAGTTGCGTAACCATTTTATAGAAAAACTAATTCAAAAAACTGTTAAAATTTTAAAAAAATATTGATGCAAAGTCACTGACTGCCTACACGTGAACAATCAATTGTATTTGTTGTCAACAACTAAGTATACTATGTCAGAGCTAGCACTAACACAAAGTAGATGCGTGCACTTGAATAAACAAAACAACAATATAAGGATTATGTGAAAGCGAAGCGCACACGAGCAAGCTAGTCGTACTCACGAAGGGCATCGCGCCGTGTGACGTCCGCTGTAAACTATCGTGAAATGTAACGTACTGGGAACAACACGGCCGTCTCAGCGCTGAAGCCGCAGCACTCGCACACTGTGAGGTAGGAGTCGTCACCCGCCTCCTCGAAGGTCATGGCGCGCGCGCATCGCTCGGAGACCCTTCGGCCACTGAGCGCGCCGCGGCCGCGCACGCGCCTCTCACAACACACCACACTCACCGGTGCGCCGTCGCTCCCAGCGTTGCCGTCGGGCTCGATGAGGTCTCCGTACGCGGGCATCGCGTCCGAGTACCCCTCCTCTTCCGTGTCGTCGTCGCGCGACTGTGTCGGCGAGGGCGGTGCAGGCACCGACAGCCGCACGCGCGCCAACGCCACCGCCTCTTCCAGTGACCCCACCTCGGCGCCTCCCCTCTCTCCATCATCGTGGTCCTCCGAAAGGCAAGCCGATGCTTGAGCTACAAATGCAATTCGTCTGCGTAGTGCATTCTCTGGGCTGGGGTCCTCCACAGGCTTTTCCATTTCCGGCTCGCTGTTGCGCTTCCAAGCCGACTTTGAAAATGGTCTCGTTGCAACAGGGTGTTCTACAGCAATAGGACTCACCGGATCAGGGGTTGGTAGTTCCAAGTCTGGGGATGTTATTTGGGATTGCTCTGTTGTGGTTGGATCACTTGTGGTTGGATCACTTGTGGTTGTGTTTACTGTAGATGGCTCTACTTTGATTGGCTCTGTTATTATTGGTTCTGTTATTATTGGTTCTGTTATTATTGGTTCTGTTATTATTGGGTCTGTTGTGGTTGATTTTGTTGCGATAGGCTCTGCTGTAGTTGGCTTTGCAGATGAAGGTTGAGTTTCCGAAGGTGGTTGTGGTGACTCACTAGCACGTTTCTTACCAAAGCTCCCCATCCTGCGCATAAAGGTATTTCCCTCCTTTTTCTTCTTGTCGACGCTGGGCGAGCTATCCGTGCTGCGTGACGCGTCACTAGCCGCGTCGCGGTTTTTCTTATTTCGCTTACGCATCGTGCGTTCGTCGCGGCCGATCTCACCGTCTGAGGCAACGGATTTGGAGGAGCCTGTGCGCTTGATCAAGCCGATGTGGAAGGGCGAACCAGGCCGGAACGGCGTTCGCAGCGTGTGTAGAGTGCGACGAAGGCGCGAGGGCGCGGGGCGTGCGGGTGACGGCGAGGCGGGCGGCAGGGGGGGTTCCTCGTCCCGCATGGTGGTGCACGGAGCGCGCCGCTACGACTGCCGCGAGCCTAGCGTCCAGCCTGCCTCCGGCGATTCGGCCTTGTTCCCTGATATCTACCTACTACGGATCACTAAGTTTCGACTAGCGACCACGACGTGATTGTGTAACTTAATTATAGCACTAATTGACAAGGTACCGTTAATTCCAGACTTTTCTGAAACGTTGAGAGCGTTATGAATGGACGTATGTTGTCGACCGAGTTGCAAAATTAAATATAGCATTTACATTGGGGAGTAGGTGGTAATAAAAAATGATAAGAAAAAATTGAGTCATCTCACCCAGCGCATATCGGCGGGCCGTGAACCGCAGTGCTGCAGACCTTGCTCTAGTAACAATCCACAGATACTGACGTTTTTTTGTCAAAGCGTCTGAAGGATTGAAAGGCGAAATGTATACTAATATAGCGTGCGAAATTAGATACCCTGTATAAGCCATTCATTTTCTCGTTTGCACTCGGAGCCGAAGGTCGTATCGGTGTCTTGTCGTAATATTAAAATCACACTTAGTTGGTCACACGCAATGTTTTTATGGAACACCGATTAGATATGTTAATTAAAATATCCGCCTGAACGTCTTTTTCAACAAAGCCTATTAATTATTTTTAATTTAATCGCAAGTAAGAATCAGACTATAACTACCTAACACAGTTGTAAACTTTTTACTGTAGGCGAACTCATATCTCTTTAACCTTCAAAAATAATCAAACAACACTAGACATACATCAATAACAACAATTAAAACACTCGATAACGGTACTTAATATCGGAAATTTCCTCCAAATTACTTCAAAAACCGGTTGGGGTACACACATAATGCGTATTATTCCGTATCGTTTGAATGTCGTCAGTCGATATCAAAAGTAACAGTTTTGTGGGGTTTCTTCCGTTCACAAGAGTCCATAGTAATGCTGTAGCCTGTCTCGAGTACGGGTCAACAAGTTGTTCGGGTCACTGTATCTAAGACGTGGCGTCTATTTCGTGGATTTTTGGGGATTAAATTTGGTTAGGTGTTGTTTATGCATGATTGGTGACTAGCTCAAAGCGTATCAAAGCCGTATTAGGTCACATTCCTTGTATAGGTGCTTATGTTAAACTTATAGGAATATTTTGACACCTTTTTTTACTTTGGAGTCGTATATAACATGTAGCGGATTCGATTTCCGCACGGAGCAACTCTTTGGGTGATCCACAAATTGTTGTTTTGGGTCTAGGTATCATGTGATATTGTATGTTTGTAAACGCCCCCTCGAGACAGGACAAAAACCTAGTGTGGGGCAACGTATTAAAAAATTATATAAAAAGTAGTATTTTTATTTTGGTAATTAAATATTACTTATGATGTAGATTCTACGTGAACTTTCCACTGTTTACGAAGTTTAGGTGTCGTTGGTTTTTTAGTAGATATGGTCGATAAAAATTGTGAGACTGTGATTAAAATGTATGTCGGTCGAAAATAATATTATTAGGTTGAAAAATGTGCATTTGTTCACTATTAGCTACAGCTTAGGCGTAGAAACAGAAACTTGCCGGAAAAGCTTGCTATAGGAAATAATAAAAATATGTATACTTGATGGAAATACGTACGTATGCAAATATCATGTTGACGCACACATATTTAAATCATAGGCCCTAATAATCAGATAATATAATTAATTTCAATCATCAATGGCGATGACCAGCTACGATTGGAATCCATGACGTCTCCTTATCAAAAATAAACCTTAATGAGATACAAATTGTAATTTTAAACAGTAAAACTATCAATGTTAACTGTTCACGTAGTTTGGTTATAATTTAATTTTAATGACGTCCAATAAAATTAAATATAATATTAATATTCCGTATCTGTTATACATTGATCACGAAAAGCAGCAATTTACCAAAGCAGTTATTGAACAATGTGTCTTTAGGTATGAATCCTGGGTCGGTAAATGTATTATTGAGGTTTCGATTTGTCTTTCTTATTAGTTAACACGGACATTAGAATTGTCCGGTGTATGGAAAAATCACCATACCACTAAAGATCAAATTCAATTGATTTAATACTTAGGTAACTAATAAAGTACCTAACAATATTATATTTAAAAAAAAATCAAGAGCAACTAAATCAAAAGAAAAATGAAATAACTCAGTCGAGTTCGGTGGATGGAACGAACTTTTTTAAATCGGATTTCTAAAGATTTCAGAAACTAACTGCAATAGACGGAGAATTTCAGTCGGTTTTTTTATTATTGTTTTCAAATTTAGCAATAGTGAAACCATTTACTTTTTCGTACTACTAACGAAAGTTATATCGATAAAAACTTAGGTAGGTAGGTATACAAATTCAGTTTTAAAATGTAAAGATATGCTGAAATCTTCTAAATATAAATCTTACATATAAAATGTAATTTCGCATCAATGCTTGTTATTTTTTCAAAATATTAGGCGTGATCCGGGAATCGAGTTTGCGGCCAAGTATTCATTATCATGTTTAACTACGAGAATAATAACAAGCATAATGGACCATAAAGTTAAGTACCTAAGTTCGAAAATTTCTTGCACATTATTTAATAGTAAGACCTGTTTTCACTTATCAACACCAATGCGACAATTACTTTAGTCATAATTATAACATGACGTAAGTTAATTGGCATCTGATACTCTTTTTGACCTTAGCGAAATTTTAATTTACTCGCAGTTAGTGTCAAACTACGTTTAGGTACATAGTATGCAAGATTACAAGATGACGTGGGACATCAGTTTGTATCTTCAGTGGTATGATGACGCCGATCACAATCACAACCAGACCCGTGCATACGGGGTGTCGCGTTCCGCGCGCGCATCAAAGAGCCTTCATACCACCACAGGTGGGGCCGATAGGACTGATACCCGATACGGAGCCGCGTAAGGCCTAAAGGGTTGCCGGCTCGAAAAGCAGGGGTAGGAACGGGTGGTTTTTAGTCAGTAAGAGTCTGACACTTCCTCTCGCCTAACTCAAGGCGGTAGAAGTCATTTGACGTGTGAGTGAGGTTGCCGGAGGCCCAATTAGCCTTCCCTTCCCTCCCCAATCCCTGAATCCCAACGATCCTCAAAATCCTAATCCCCAAAAGGCCGGAAACGCACTTGTAATGCCTCAGATGTTCCAGGTGTCCATGGGCGACGCCGATTGCTTATCTATTGCTCATCAGGTGATCCGTCTGCTCGTTTACCATAAAAAAGATACCGATAGATAAGTCTAAACAATTTGGTTTAGATTGAATTATATTATTCAGAGTTCACTATGTAGTCTGATAGCATAAGTTCCCTTTAGAAGGTCCTGGAATAGCTTTACTCCTCATTGGCTGTTCGGTAATTCCTTTGAAGACATGATGTCATCTTACGAGTATTAAAGGATTCGTTTAAGAGGCAAGATGTTGAAACGTACAACGATAGTACGATACAGGAAGTATCAATGATCGCCGTAACTACTGGTAATGTGACTGGTACAATCGATGACAAAATATTATGGAATTAAAATATAATACTGCCTCGTTGGCCGAGTGGTCGCTAGTGCGACTGCACAGCAAGCGGTCTCGGGTTCGATTCCCCGGTCGGGCAAAGTATTACTGGGTTTTTAAAAATTCTCATTGGAAGCACGGAGTCTGGAATTGTGCCCGGTATATGGCAATAGGCACATCCTCTATTACACGGGACTCATAACATAAATAGTGAAAAGTGCGTGTTACATAGTACAGTGGCATTCAGTGCCGTAATGTACACCTCTGCCTACCCTTTAAAAAGGCGCGATTTGTTGTAAAATATAATAGTCCAGTTTAGTAGATAGTTCTAGAACTTTTGCTTTGCTTTCATTCCTATAACTAGCTTCTGCCAGCGGCTTCGCCCACGGTCCCGTGAGGTAAAAAGTAGCCTATGCGTTATTTCAGATCATAATATACCCCTGTTCCAAATTTCAGGCCGATTCCTTCGGCCGTTTATACATTAAGGAGTTACAAACAAACAAACATAAAAAAATTTCGCATTTACAATATTGGTAGGAAGTAGGACAGTTATAAATCATCGATTACATAATATATTAATTTTATTGTTATCAATAATTCGACATTACATACAAATCATCGTTGGTATTGGCACCTACATGCCTTGAATTGTTTTTACATAACGACATTACTATACTTCATTTCATCATACACAAAAATAATCGACTATGTAGTACTTTGTTTTTATAATAACTATCGTGAGACATACTAAATTAACTAAAATCGCGGGTTACTCACGTGAATATACTGAGAAAAGCTCTACTAGTTAATATAGTACTTTTGTCACTAACTGTACGTAGTGATGTGTAACAAAGAATACTTTTGATGAATGATATTTTTATTGATACTAGACTTCATAACATTTCTCAGAATATCTGAATAGACAATCATTATGATACGTTATCCATCCATTGGTAGTTTCCTATGTCAAAGCTAAATTAATTCGTATTTTTTTATGAGATAAGCCAGTAAACGAGCTGACGGATCACCTGATGGTAAGTAATCGACGCCGCCCATGGACACTTGGAACTCCAGAGGCGTTACAAGTGCGTTACCGGTCTTTTGGGATTAGGAATTTGAGGATTGTTGGGCATTCAGGGTTTGGGGAAGGGGGATCCAATCTCAACCGACTTCTTACTTATCAGTGAGTGGGTAAACTATCAGTGAACATGACTAATCATAGTTATTTTTTTGCTTTTTAATTTTTAGTTTTTGTTAGTATGTAATTGATATGACTGTATTTTAAATTTTTGTTAATTTTGACGTCCGATGCGAAACTTATTTCTTGCGATTGTTGACAGTTTCTAACCGATTATCACTTTTCTTCAATGTGAATTAATAATTATGTTACTATTATTATAAAACGTAAATTATGTAACATTTATGTATGATAATGATAATATTACTACGAGATCGACTACGACACTTGAAAAAATTATAATCAGCTGTTCCATATATTTTAATATA